CCCAGAACACGCTGGAGGGATTACATCTCCCAGCTGGCCTGGGAACGCCTCGGGATCCCCCAGAATGAGCTGGAACATGTTGCCGGTGAGAGGGAAGTCTGGGTCAGCCTGCTTGGCCTGTTGCCACCGCAACCCGACCCCGGATAAGCGGAGGAAAATGGATGGATGGATGGATGGAATTTCTCCCCGTCACCTCGTGTCCTCTCGCTCTCATCCTCTCAGAAAATAAGTGAGACGCATTAGAATTCTTGTGACCGAGTCTTTATAAAGTTGTCGGATCGAATGACAATCAAACATTTGGTGTCTTTTTCTGCAGCCTCACTGTTATTGTGATTTCAAAAAGAGATCTAGTCCTCTGTAACAATGATAAAGTCAAGCAGTGAATGATTATGCTCTGTTGGGGGATAGAGCGTCCCAGTAGAGCATCCCCTGCCACACAGAAGAAAGGAAAGAAACAGACAGGAAGTCAAGACCAGGTGGGTACTTAGTATGTGTCTGCACCTTGTACCGTCAAACTAATAAAAGGATAGTCAGTGGTGTCTATAATGTCAATTAATGGATATTAAATGTTGATCTGCAATTTCCTGTAGTGGTCCCAGTAGTATTTGCTAAATATGAATACAAAATAAAAGGCTATTCTGAAGCAACAGAGTAAATCACATCCACATTCCAGGACAAATTTAGCTCACCTTGACAACAGGTCACAATATAATAAACCTGGCTACAGACACACAAAGAGAATATGGATACCACAAGCACATTGGAACACAAAGTCAATCAATACATTTTTGTAAAGTCACTAAACGTTCACAAACAATATCCGTGCATCATGCTGTAACATGCTGAGACACGTGTGGGAAACTAATCTCTGTGGAAACTCACATATGTGTGTCTTTGTCTCCTAACACCGTCAGGGATCAAAAGCTCTCACCTGGCGGAGTGAATGCTGGTTTGGGGGTATTTGTGTTGATGAAGGTGGACCAAGTAGCCAAATGTGACACTGATAAGAATTAGATCAGTGTTATCAGGGGTTGTCATTCACCCAGGTTAGATCAAGGGTTGTTCAGCTGGCTGGACCTTACAAATGCTCCATGGTTTATACCACACCAGCTGGTTGAAACATCATTTCCCTGGGTAGATGATGACCTTGATTCTGGGCTATTAGAAGTGCTTAAATCTGACAACAGCATCAATTCAACATTGGCTAGAGACGTGGATTATCACTGGATGCATCATTTGAGTAAACCTGTTCATCGTCAGTCATCAGAGTGAAGAGGCCCCTGACAAAGTGTGGTGTCCAGCACCCCCCCCCCACAGTGGATACAACCAAGTCACCGCTGACAGAGGTGCATTGATCAGGGCTGCCTGGAGCTATCAACATGGTTACCTTACACAATTCCTATGGCCCCTTCTGATCTTCAGGCTTCAAAAGGAAGATCAATCACTTCCTCAACATGTGCGGGATGAAGATCAAGCTCCCCTTTAACAGATTGACTGAGGAGTTCTTGGTTACCCAAGAAAGAGGGTGCTATATAATGACTCTTCACAAATAAAAGTCTCCAAGGACACCAAGGGAACAGGACTCAGTGGACCAGGCCAAGTCATGGTTGCATATCCAGAGTTGCCATCTAGAGAGCCTTTGGGAGGGCAGATGCCATCTGATATCATCAACTTATCAGCAGTATCAGAGTGTTCCAGCGAGGAAGGCAGCTTCTTCATCAGGTGAAGAAGCTGCCTCTAGAATCAACTTGGAAGAGAAGGCCTCTGAGAGCAAGAAAGCCAAGAAAGTACACCAAAGTGATAGAAGACGGCAGCTGAGGGTGTCGGGCACACTGTGAACCATGAAGTTCACTGCCCAGTCCCTCTGCAGGGCTTTAAAGCTTCTCTGCACCATAGGATGCCTAATCTCCAACTGGATGGCCTGGGTAAGACAGAATGATGCTGACAATGACCCAAGGTTGCATCACTGATGATGTGTCTCTGCATCTCATGAAGTGTGAGAGAACAAGTAGACAGAATGACTAAGTTATCAACAAGTGTGCTACAACCAGACACGGTTAGGTGTCTCTGTCAGCAGAGACTGAAGCATTTTGTGCTGCTTCATTAAACTGTTTGTGCCTATCCTGCCACCTTTGCACGTGCTGGTCAGAAGAATATGAGTATTAACAAGAAATGTACATTTAATGATGAAGCAAAATTCAAAAAGCACAAAAATATGCACACACAGCTAAGGAAATAGATTTTCTCACAGCTGATGTGTAATACGAGCTATCACGTAAATACTAAAATAATACAGTACAGCATTGCTATAAAAAAGACAAATGGTCTTCGCTCAGACCTTTTGAACCAAGAGGTTAAATGAATGACTGTACTACTCCAGTAGTGTCTCTTTTAGTTTTTTATCCTAAGACATTGATGACCAAACACTTGTGGAATCATTTCTGTTGTCTGAAGTACAAACTAACAGTTTTACTTTTGTCCCAGCCAGTGTCTGGGCTGAGTTTGGCTGAATATAGTCCTTTTTAGACGTGTAGTCTGGAACATTGCTGGCTTCATTTATCTGTTAAAGTAATGGCCTTTTGCCTTTCAAGTATAGGTCTCCATTAGGAAGATGTTCCATAATCACTGTGCAAACATGAAAGGACCATAATGGATAGAGCTGCAATACTCATGTGATATTTAGCATCAGACACACAAGACAAAGGTCTATAGCCCTTTTTCCTCCATGCCACAGTGGCAGAAGAGCTGGAGGGCAGTGGTGAGCTGCAAATGAATGATATCATGAAAAGAAAGGATTCTCTCGCATGATACATCAGTACTAGATGTTAAAACTTGTTCCAGTAAATAACTTCATCCAGGGCCACAGCTTCCATTGAGGACACATTGACAGCAATGAGGTCACGTTCTTTGACTGGGTTTTTCACATCCTCAAGTGTTTCTCTTTCCCGTGACCCAAGCACATGAAAGCAGGGCAATGATACGAGGAACCTAAGTGAGTACCAAACGGTCTCTTTGAAACCTCGCCTATCTCAATACGGCGAAAGGCGCCGTCACATCCAGGGTTATTATAGTAAACTACAGTGATGTCAATCTAAAAAAAAAAAAAAAACTATATCCCTTATGACAGTGATTCTCAACTGGTGGGTCGCGACCCAAAAGTGGGCCGCAGACCCGTTTTCAGTGGGTCGGGGGCCTTTGTCTGAAAGAAATTCTGTGCTTTTATTTTGAAGGGGATTTTTTATGCAGCGGAGTTATTCACAATCCTTAACAGTATTTGGCGTTAATGCCTTGTCATACTAATATACACCTGCCATTTCACAGTATAGAAGAACGCCCACAAAGTTTGTTTTTATATGCTAATTGAGCAAAACGCAAGTACGACACAGACTACATGAGATGTGGATTTTCTTACATTGAGGACAAAAGAGGGCAAAAAACTCAGTGTGTTTTGTGCAGCGAGGTTCTGGCACAAGAAAGCATGAAGCCGTTTTACTCGTTTACGTGAAACGTGTGTGGGACGGGGACTGACAGGAACAATTTCTCTGCACAAGAGACCTCCTACTACTACGAAAGCAGAGGACATTTTCAGCTCAGGTTCAAACTGCACCATCCTTTCATTAAATACATTTGAGAAGTTGAAAATTTGGGTCGCGGCTTGTCATTAAGGGGTGATGGTGGGTCCCGCAGCCAGACCAGTTGAGAACCACTGGGTTAAGAGGAACAAAAACAAAACTGAAATGATATTGCCTGGTTAAAAAGTTAAAAATAAAACATGAAAGTACATTAATTTCAGTTTTTTGATATATCACTAAGGAAAAAAGGAGACAGCATGAATTTCTACCAACTCTTGTGACATTGAACAACACATTCTCACTCCCAACTGGTCAAATACCAACACTTGGTCAGCGGCCCTACTCTTCAAACTATGGCGCTCTGAGTATCCGTCTAGCGTCACTTTTGGATGTGTCAGGGATGGCAACAAAACCACTTCGGTAGGCTTGACTGACTGTCAGGACTGACTGGCTATTAACGTAATAGTGGCAATATTATTATTACTGATAGGAATGAAGACGACAGAAATAAAAACCAAGTTATTCTTTAAGTGGTAGAACACTATTTAGATACACTACTTCGGTAAATGAGTACTGATGAGGTTTTAAAAAGTGTTCTAGCAAATCGACCAATAAATCTGATATTTCCTGTTCTCACTTCACATTTGAATTCTACCCCGATGTTGTCTTAATGATGACATTGGAATAACTAAATGGGTACTGTGTTTTGTCCTGCTCCTGTTAAAACATGATTTTATGGGAGTATCTGTGTGCACATATTGTGTTGTGTAATGTATTACTGGCCACATGCTGTACTTTGTATCCCTTAGAGTACAAAATGTGTTCTGTTTATGTGTGTGGGTGTTTGTTTAGAATTATTTGTGTGTATGTGTATGTGTATGTGTGTGTGTGTGTGTGTGTGTGTGTGTGTGTGTGTGTGTGTTAGAGGAATTCAAAGCAGGATTTCATATTGGTGAAACATTAAGAGCCCTCTTTAACTAGACTTCTGTCTCAGCAGTCAATCACTCCCCCTAGCTATCAGCACTGGTGTCAGATATAACCTTTCTACCAAAATCCACCACTGGATCCAGACAGGAAGCTTGACTCATGACTTTGATGGTTTGACTTCGAAAATAGGCGATTTTAAACAAGCCTGAAAGAAGTGCAGCAATATTAGCAGAGTAATGTGTTACATCTATTAAATGATTATTAGCTATGGGATGACCAGGGGCTTTGGTAGTTGTGGTGTAAATCAGAACTTTGCTAGAGACAGAATCATCATTTTTTCCTTAAATATTACCATTTCCTCTGTGTGATAATATCATACTTCAGTAAGTGTTGCTTGTTTGTACTCATTGTTAATGCAAAATAAAAGGAATTGATTGATTGAAGCTGTTAGTTTCCCGTGTGCCTCTGAGCCAAACAAAAAACACACCACAAACTACCAACCTGCAGTCCCAAGCATCTGAAGGAGAGCTGGACAGAACAGAAGTCCTAGAGAGGAAGATGGGAGCTTAGAAAAGACAGGAGAGTGTCTACAGGCTTCACAACTCTAACTGGGAACCAGTGCAATGGAATTTGCATATACTTGCTCAACCAATCAGAGTGAGCCACTTCCTTCCTACAGCACCAGCCATTCTCATGGATGGTATAATGCAACATGACTGTAACACAACACAATACTGCTTCCTGAATGTGTGCCTCTGGATATCTGTTTTAGGTGTAAAACATAAACTTTAACAATTCTATAAATGAGTAAAAAGTCCTTGTTCATTAACTCAACTAAGCACACATGCATAGCTCCACATTTTAGCAAATGGTCTTCTGCTTGCTTTCGTCTACATCTTTTTCTTTCCATGCAGTGACACAGAAGCATGCCCTCTCCCTCTGTACCCCCGGCCCTCTCTCCTCCTTACCTCCTGTAAACGCTGGATGTGTTCTCTGCAGGTTTCTAAGTCGCTGTCACCAGAAACCACAATCAGTCCCAGAGGAATGGCTGCAGATACAGAGGAACAAGACAATTATCCAACAGCACTTTGATATCTACTTATACAGTGGTTCTCAACTCCAGCCCTCAGGAGCTCAAATACTGCTGGTTTGAATTCTGGTCACATAGAAGGGACTGATGTAGACCTGGGACTCCACATGAGTCTAATTACAGATATGGAAGTAAGGACAACCAGCAACACTGAGATTGCTGAGGACTCAAATTGTGAACCACCAACAACAACATGCCAATGAATATTTAACCTGGCTAGGTGAATGTTTTGGGGTTCCGAAAACACCGATGCATTAGTATTGAGAGAATATATGCTGAAAATGATACTGGTATATTTGATGAGAACATCTTATTTGTGACAGAAAGAAACAGCCTATAGGAAAGATCAGAACCAGAGCTGTTTAAAGAGGGATTTAAAGTTGTGTGCAACTTCAGAGCCACATGTCAGGGCGCCTACAGAGATACCACTGGGAGAGTGCAAAGAACTGGGACTGGTCAGTACGGGTCGCTTGTGTCTTTGATGCCAGTGGATAGCTAACAAAGGAGCTAGACACAGAAAGCTAACGCATATCAGACAAACACATAGTCATTGAAATGTTCTGCTCAACATCACTGAAGTAACTTTAGCCCTTGATGTTTTTATTCACAAAGTAACTCCTGTTCTATAAGTGTGTATACAGCCCACCGGTGCTAGTGGAGTAGAATTAAAGCAAGATACCGCCTCATGTGTGACACATTTGTCTAGCCCAGTACCTCAAAATGATGATTTATGTACAGCGCCAAGTTAACTTTGGTGTCTTTTATTTTCTTAAGTGAGCCTGACCAAGCCAGTCGTTGAAACAACAGACGGCTCCCTGAGGGATCAGGCCGGCTGCACCAACACAACACTGCTGGATGAACATCAGAGCTCCTGAACCCACACACAGCTCTCATTGATACCAAATATCTGTCTCAGGGTGGAAGACAAACACTGCTCTGGGAGTGTCAGATTATAAGAGAGATTCTAGAAAAGTGCCTGTTCACTTTGTGGTCCATTCACTATTCTCCAAACAAGCTTCAATCCTCAAGCTTTATCGCTGGCTTCGTTACTGTACATCTCTGAGTGACTTTAAGTTCTCTTCATTCTCTTGTTGGTCAGACAAACAAGTCATTTGACACCAGTGATGATTGGACTATATTATAGTATAGAATGATAGTTCTTCTTTATACATCGAGATCTCTATTAAACCATCTCTCCACTCGATCCATGTTCAGGGTGGAATACAGAGCCACAGTGAGGTGATATAACCACTGTGCATATTTTTAGCCATCTCCCCAAGTGTGACACATCCACAAGTTGAGAGCAGGGATTGATTTGCATAATGAGAAACAACTCAAACTTCAGATAGCAAGAACAAAGGATGAGGTATGAAATGATGGAAATTAAGAACATCATTTAATACCAATAGACATTTCACATTATATTGAAAAAAGGGAATTGTGGATCATTAATATGAATTAGTATGAAATATTATATACGTTTTCATCAAGGAACTACAGATTTAAAGCCTGTACAGTACATTTATATGATATGAAACACACAGAAACAAAAAGAACCATGACTACATTTACACTAATATATAGTCTACAGTGTTCTAAAGCGTTCTGGTTACAATGTTGTAATAGGGAAGAGCGCCACCCGGTGTCAGAACTCTGAGCTGACATGAACTAACTGACTGCATGCGAGTGTAATTGTCTCTAATGACAGAGACAGAAGCTTACCCACTCTACATTCCTGAGATGTCAGCGATGCTGCTCACTGTTTGAGTGTGCTCTATGTAAATCACAGACATCTCTCACTGAAGAGTGTCTGAGATGCAGCATGAAGAGGCAGCTGAGAATCATCTTGTTGACCTTCACATCACTGCTCCACCTTCTAATCATCAAGCAGTGTGATTCCCTCTTGAGCCTGAAGATGCTGCTGTCATGAGGGTCCATGGACCTTCAGCTCATATCACACATCACTGACCTGTGATCTGATATATGAACATATAACCTGTTCCTTTCAGATGAATATGCCTGCTGTAGACCAACTATACCCTCACTAAACACTTATTGTATTGTTTGATCTGGAAATCATCTGTGGTACGATTATGGCTGGATGAATGAATATCACGTTAATAAAAAAGTATTATGTATTTGAGCCGATACATTTCTGTCGTTTTCTTGTTGTTTTATGCTGTCATTAGCAGTATTTGATATCAGCTTGTGTGTGCTTTGATTTGAAAATGCAATAACACATCATCATTAAAGCCTTGGTGGTGCATACGTGAGCGTTTGGTGGTGCATACGTGAGCGTTTGGTGGTGCATAGGCGAGCGTTTGGTGGTGCGTACGCGAGCGTTTGGTGGTGCGTACGCGAGCGTTTGGTGGTGCGTACGCGAGCGTTTGGTGGTGCGTACGCGAGTGTTTGGTGGTGCATACGTCAGTGTTTGGTGGTGCATACGTCAGTGTTTGGTGGTGCATACGTCAGTGTTTGGTGGTGCATACGTCAGTGTTTGCTTACATGCTTGTCGTAGTTTGTCCTTGTCATAGTGCAGAGCGTCATAGTCTGTCATACTGATCCTGCTGACTCTGATCCTCAGCCTCTCTGGGACCGGCTGCTGACTGACACAAACACACACACACACACACACACACAGAGTCATCATTAGAAGCTGAACATCAGGGTCTCCGGTGGTTTTGAGTGTGTGACTTACTCATTGAGGTGTGGTAGTGAGGTCTGTCGTTTGGTTTTCTGCACCATGTTGGCCTGGTTTCTGAGGCTGATGTGGATAACAGAGGGAGCAAGTCTGCACGGTTCACCATCCACCTAACAAGTATATCAATCAATCATACCCACACTGCTTCAGTATTCAGTCATCACTACTGGGCAGATGTTACACACTGTGGTTGTACAGATGTGCGTATGGATAGTATGTACCTGTACTGGGAGAGGTTTAGTCGTGGTGAGGGTGACTTCTCTGCACTGGTTCAACCTCTCGCCATGACCTCCAACCTGGAGAGTGGCCTACAAACACACACACACACACACACACACACACACACACACACACACAGTTTAACTTCACACGCGGTCCTTACTCCAGCTACGACTCAATGAAATACTGTTTTTCTGGTGGCAGACTGATCATTATGGCTTTGAACTCATGATAGTCGAGCTTTACTGCTCTGATGATCTGTTCTTTCCAGAATCTTCAAACACTCTTCTGACTATCTAGATTAAAACATATTCTGCCCCCAGCCCCAAGTTGTTACTCAAAAAATGTCTGGAAAGAAGTGGAAATAACATATTATAAGAAAAATAAGATGTAAATATTTACATGTTATAGTGTATGAGAACATGTAATACTGAAAGTGACATCAATGTAGCCAACTCGGATGATGCTAAAACTTTTGAATTCTTGGTTCTCAGTTCCAGCTACCAGGAAACACTTAAAAGCTTTTTACTTTTTCTTTGAAGGTTGTGGAAATACAGTTCAAATACGAGCACGTGCTGTTGAAATAGGGAAGTTCCTTGTATGTGAATCTATAGCTTTCCAATAAAGGTGATTGTGAGATGTGCAACTCTGTAAGGAGAAGATGTGAGGAATGAACTGGGGGCTACTACCTATGTTAATTAGTCTGTTAGTTACTATATTACCCCGAGTACACAGTGAGCTACGTACCAGTGAAGTCATAGTGAAGCCAATGACCTCGATGTATCCATCATCATGGCGTTGAGGTTCAAAGTCGTGATGTTCACTGGGGTTTCCCCAAGGTGTAGTACCTGCACAGTATCTAAAGAACACAACACACACCACATCATCAGAGACACTTCGTCATGAAGTTAACTATTTAATGCTTATACAGACGGATTAGGCAGAAAAGGCTCGTATGAGAGAGCTCTCAAAGAATCCACTAGGTGTTGCACTAAACTCAGCAGACTGAAGCTGTGTTGATACGCACTTGGCACCGTATCGTGAACCTTTGCAGAAGGCGAGCGAGCTCCGAGCATGAATGAGGCGTTTCTACTTCATGTGCTGTTTGTTGCTTTATTCTCTAAAACACCAAAGGGCGAACAAACTAAATGAACTGTGAAGAATCAAAAAGACAACTGTAAACCAACCTCCACCATGCCGAGGTGGACGATCTCTGTAAACTCTCATAGTCATGGACTACAATTGCTTTTGAACAAGTCCTGTATGACGTGCATTATAAGGAAACAAAGGTTCAATATCCTGTAAACTATCATTTTTAAGACCTCCTGTTTCTAAAGCATTTAAAAAGGTCCAGAATGTAGCATTTCGGGAGCTCTGTTCACAGGAACACAATATAAAATTCATAACTATGTTTTCATTAGTGTATAATCACTTAAAACTAGGAATCACCCAAATCTACATAGGGAGCAGGTCCTCTACGCCATATGGGACCACCATGTTTCTTCAGCAGCCCTGAATGGACAAACTAAACACTGGTCCTAGAGAAAGCCTTTTATTGTGTTATGTTAGCTAAAGGCCACCACATCTCTGCACACATGGAAAGCGAGGACTGATAGGAGGAGTGTTAGGTCACCACTAGATGACACTAGATCCTACACACTGCTCCTTTAAAAACAAATAGTCCATCTTTGCAAAACCCTTGGATTTGTTGATAGTGCTTTTATCAGTGCTATTTGTGACAGTCACGTTCGAAAAACTCAGAGTGCCAATAGTGGGTGCCTCGTCACAAAAATGCTGAGGTGCATGACCAAGCAGAGCCGTGATAACGACACGACGGCGACTACAAACTAAGCTTAAGACAACCTCACAAACCACCGCTACCCAGCATTTTTCTCAACAACTGCAAATACATCACCAACAAAATGGATGTAATGAATGTACAGATCTCAGCAAACAAACTGGTTGAGGACTGTTGTATTCCGGTAACAACAGACTGAGCTGGCAGGCCTCACAACAACCATAGACAGTCACTGTTCTTCTGATTGTGAGCACCACACACTTTAATGCAGACCCATCTACCTTCGATGTGTGTTTACCGTTTTCATAGTCACAACTCTTCACATTCCACCAGATGCTAATGCTAGCTTTGGCTACCTGCTCAGTGTTCACAACCAATCACAACAAAGCTCACATCCTGAAGCCCCCCCATATCATAGCCGGTGGCTTTAACTATGCCGATTTAAAGGCCCATCATCACATTAAATGTTCTACTGGGGAGTAAAATACAGGAGATAAGACTTATTCTAACATTAACAAGTGTTTAAGGTCAGCACCACTACCACATGTAAACCTACTCCTAACCCCAGCATACACCCCCCTCAGAAGAAAAGCTCCATCCACCACAAAGACTATGGGGACGTGGAGCTTAATCGCAGCTGTAGGATTGTTTTGAAAGGACTGGGAGATTTTTAAGAACATCATTGAGAAGCCCTAGATGCCAAAGGAGGGGATGTGTTGTGATTACATCACAGCTAACAGGACCGGCGTCACTCTTGGTGTCGGACCAAAACACGTCCGTTAGCTGTGACAGAACATACCCCGGCTTGTCGTGGCAGAGCCTCCAGCCACCTCCTCACTGTGCAGGAGCATGATGGGAGAAATGTGCTCAGAGTGTTTAATCCGGGGAAAGCTGCAGGCCATGTTGGTGTGACGATATTGGGTGCCGACGATATGAGAGGACCAGCTCTCTTAGGTCTTCACTAAATCTTCAACCTGTCCCCGTTTAATTCCACCTTCCCTACTGCCTGCAGTCTGCCCTCTAAGCCAGCCTCCCACCCACTTCAACCCGTACCAGTTTGCCTACTGGTCTACGGAGGATGCCACTGCTCTTCACACGGTACCGACCCACCTTGAACACCAGGGGAGCTATGTGAGGATGCTTTAATAGGCTCTACCTGTTACACAGCCATCCCGATAGACAGGTTACTAAACTTACTGACCAAGAACTCTCCCAACCCACCTGCCTCGGGATCAAGGACTTTCCGACTAACAACCAACAGACCGTTGGACCAGGCCTCCACCTCTCCTCCATCCTCCTCTTACGCTCAGCACCAGCTCCCCACTGGGTTGTGTGTTGAGCCCCATCCTATACACCCTCAACCCTCATGACTGTGCCCCCACTCATTCCACCAACACAACTGTGGTTGGACTTATCTCAGGAGACAAGACAGTCTACAGGGATGAAGTCCAAAGACCAACAGTGTGGTGTTCAGAGAACAATCTCATCCTTAAACAAAATAACTCATAATAGACTTCCCCAAGAACAGTGCAGACCCCGACCCACTCTACATCAACAGGGACTGTGTGGAAAGGGTCCAGCACGTCGCTGATGATCGCTCGTGGTCTACCAACACCACCTCAGTAGATATGAAGGCACTTCCTGAGCTTCCTCAGTTGCTGGTGTCGGCTGCTCTCTGCCCTCTGTTGAGGACTTGTTCAGCCTTCGCTGCCTCAGTAGAGCAGTCAACATAATAAAAGACCCATGATGTCCCGCTGGACACCATCTGTCTGATCTGCTGCTCTCTAGTAGACGCTTCAGGTCCATCAAATCACAGACTGAAACAGACCTTCTAGCCCAGAGCCTCTGTCTAAACTGACTATCAGCACTACAACGCTTTCAGTTACATTCCTTTGTATAAATAGAACATGCCAACTGCTCCTTACTTTATTCATTATACATACATATTCCCTATTTATTTGACTTGTTTATAGAGCTGTGCAATCGACAGAAGGCAACATCTTCCTGTGTTTATAGGTCACTGCAAATACACATTTTCTATTTATAATATCAACTTTATTAGTT